ACGCCGGCTCCGCCTAGTTAAATCTGTGCTGAGATTTTCCATTTAGAGTCCCCCACCTCCAAATTTATTGTGTGGGAGCCAGTGGCAGAGGTTAATTTCTGAGCACCACAGGGGCAGCAACGGATAAGGCTTGGAGGAGGCGAGACTGGTTAAAAGTTTGTGGAATATCCTGGGCCCAATTCTGATCTCTCCTATGCCAGTTTTCACAACTCTAACAAAGTTGTAAGTGTAACAGGCCTCAGACCTTAAAGCAACATGGCCTGATTTCTTCTATTCTCCTCGATATGGACTTGTTTTGGGGAATCTCTCAGAGCTCACTGGGGTCCCACATGCACAATGAAATAATTAGAGGATCTGGGCTGCCATTCTGATTCCTGCTCAGAAGCCTGCTGCATATGGCCATGACTGGAAGCTCTGGCAGAAGAGAAGGGGACCAGGTGGTGGGGTGGTTTGAGAGGACAGGAGAACAGAGGGAGGACTGATGTGCCCTGAAGCACCAAAGTAGGTGTTACACATCGTACAGCAAGTTGTGATTGGATCCAACTCCTCTGACAGCAACACAAATCAAATGGATTTGTGACAAGTGCAAGGAACAGGTAAAGATTTATCCATGTGATCTCACTGCAACAGAGAAATATGTATGTCCCTAGGTCTAGAAATGCACCTGGGTGGATTTAACATACAATAGGGACCTCGTACTTTATTTATTTCTAATTTAAAGACGGAAACATAAATGGATTTTAATGGAAAAGAAATAGCAAAACAGCCCCGGATTGCCAGTCAAAACACTTGCACACACATTTCAGCAACACACCATCGCAACCCGTTACTTTTATTAATAGGAAAATAACACATCGTCATGGATGATACCAGTGGTCTCTTGTGGGTTTTCTGCAGCCCATGAGATTCTTGGGAGCCAAATGAAAAGGATCCAATGATTTTAGAAGCAAGACGTCGTCTCCCAGATTTCCAGAGATCCTGAATGGACAAGTGAGTGTATTCACCCCCGCTTAATACTGCAAAAAGGAAAGAAATTCTCAGGTTCTGTGTTTGTACCCATTAAAAGAAAGCTAATATGAGAAAAAAGAAGAACAGGAGTACTTGTGGCACCTTAGAGACTAACAAATTTATTAGAGCAAACCTAATATGAGAGTAGATTTCAAATCGGAGGTAGAGCAGGAATTTCCCCAGCACTGAATGGTGAGTGCAGGTATTCCTGGTTAACCCCAGAGACATGGATTTATTTTCCCTGTGGCAACATGCTGTTACAGAGTTTTAATGAAGATAGTCGCTTATAGCTAAATATGTGAACTGGCTGCCCGCCTGGCTTACCAGACATTAGACTATGGACCTCCCCTCCCTTCACCCCAACTGTCTTCTACATCAGGCAGAGTCCCTCTTTTAATATAAAAAATGTCCTTCTCATTAACATCCTACAAAGTTAAAGCAACAGCCACAAAAAATAAATTGAGCAGGGACATAAAAACAAACAAAAAAGCCCAGCAAATTAAAGACAAGAGAGACATCACTGCTGGAAAAAGGGTGCACACTATTCATTGACATGTTAATAACAATTAAAAATGATTGAAATGTTAAATGCCATTGAGGAATTTTACTAAAATTGTGAACTTTAAAAATGTGGACGAACTCTATTAGCCAGAGAAAAATAAAATAAAAACTCCATAAAGTGTACAACAATGTGACTCTCTTCCATGTCCAGTTTTTCGATCAAACCCACATAGCTAAAACTAAAACAGCAAACATTTAATGACATGAGCAATTATTTAAAAAAAAATGCATGGAAATTCCAGTTCTGCCTCCCAGTTCACGTAAGCCTAAAGCCTGACCCTATTCTGGGGGTAGTTCCATGCCAGCAGCCCTGCCTCCTTAGAATAGAAAATCTCTGTACAAGCTCATTGAACCTGCCAGGAGGGCAG